ACAATTCTGATAAAATTTCATAAGAAAGGTACCTATAAATTAATTAGATACCTACCTTAAGAAATATGAAATTTAATGTCACTCTTAAGTTTTATTTTAATTTCTTTACAATATATTTCCCATAAAGCATCATAAACGTAAAGGTGAAAACTAAGTACAAAAAAAAAAAAAATTAGACCGCTGAAAGTTTTCGTTAAAAATAACGGGGTAAATAATTTGTTCACGTAAATGTAAATTATTTCACTTTTCTCCTTCCGTAGAACAAATTAGCCTCATGGAATTCGTAAATATATCATTCATCACATGTCAAGAGACGCGAAAGTTTATGACCTGTTTTGTTTTATTTTCAAATTACATGTTTTTGGCAAAAAAGCTAAGTTAAGTTTGGTTCAAAATATTTTAAATAAACATTATAATTTCTGATTTTCTTAAAATAAGTTTTGAAAAATGATAATTGATAAATTCAAAGTCAGATTTCCAGTTTTTTTTAAAATGGAAAAAATGGTCAATTTTGCTGACTCAAAAAAACTATATTTTTAACGAAAATTTCGGACGATTAAAAAATGGAAAAAATACCCCAAAAATACTTTGACCTTTCCTCTTAATGAATAACAAACATTTAGACGATAAAATTTTGTTTTCTTCAAGTTTGGCGTCTTTTTCATCATGCTATGCTCTTTTTTAGCGATCTCGTGGAGGTACCTATATAAATGTCAGCTTAATATACATCCAATGAATAATAATTGTAACAGTAATATTTGTCGGTTCATTAAAAGAAGTTTTCGACGTTCATTGACAGAGCAACCAGATACATAACATCTTTCCTAAGCAAACAAATGTATTTCTCAAGTCCAGTTATTGTTATTTTTGTGATGTCAACGAATACTCGCTGTCACTTTCGTAATGCTCGTTGTAGTAGAGACTTTGTAATCGCAGATACAATTATAAAAAACGCCGTTGAACAATACTGATGTCAGACGCCTTTGAATAACACTCGCACTAATAGTACTTGCTCGATAATAGTCGCTCAAATAGTAACCACCGTATAGTGATCAGTATAGAGAAACAGTATAGTGAATTTAGTAGAGAATAGCTGTCCTTATAGTAATAGACTAGAAAAAACGATCAAAGCATCTTATTTGTGTTTTGTCTATGGTCATGCGATCTACTTAATTCAATAATGGGATCGCCTGTGTTTGCTCACTGGTGATCTATGTTCAAACTCAAATGTAGGCAGCCACACTTTATTCCTATATAACAGTTATGGATCTTTCCGGTATTGATCAAGGCTTTCATCCTAAAAAGTTTATTCAAGTAAAAGCGGGACGTTATCTTCTTAATTATGAGATTATTAGCGTATAAAAGAAGAACGCTAAAATAGAAAGATGTTTTAAAAGATACAAAGAGAAAATTAGGAAAATCAAAATATTATTCGAAACGACGTCCAGCTATAAAAACTCAATGTGTCCCTTCGATTTAATCTTTTTCTATTCATCATTATATTACGTCGTAAATGAACTGCTGAATGCTTTTTGTACATATTTCAATAACGACAATGTCTTTGTTATTATTCGTCATGTGTAGTAGCAAACCTCACAATATCTGTCTATGATTTTCCTGTTAACTTTCATGTCCAATTAGCGCTACTCTTGAAGGCTTTTGCATATTCTGATGTCCTTCCTTCTTGCTATGTGCCCCCCATTCTTTTTTTTTAATCTCTTAATCAATTCTATGATTTTTTTTTCTTACTCTGTTCCCAGATCCACATTGGCCAGTTTCATTTTCTTGCATATTTCCCAAGCATTTTGACTCCCTTTTTTTTTACAATTTTATCAGCCCACAACTAGATAAGCTAGAATCCTATTACACAAATCATTAGATACTTTATAGACAATATTTTACATATGTCAGAAAAATTGGTAGCTGCCGACATTGTTGTTCATGGTCGTAAGTAGCAAGTAATATCAGCCTATAAGCAGAACTGAATAAAGTGTTGTTTCCTAAAATAGAAATTCTCTCCAGGATTAGCTAAACGTTGTGTACTAGGAAGAAGTATATTAATGGGGATTGTAATGTTATTTCAAGTACTTTTGGACTCAACTGCTCCTTTGAAGGGATGAAGAGGTCATTTTTCGGGAGAGAAAACTCAAACATCAATGAAGAACACTTGATAAATGTTTATTTTAAATATATATTGCACCCTAAACACATGTTTTGATCATCCCATGTAACACTAGATATCATGGAATAGCTTAGATTGCGCAACCAAAAAACTCGGACTCGTGATTTACGAAGTTTGAGAGAGATGATAGATTATACAAATTTTTCTTTGAATCTGACTACAGACTGATTTTAACTAAACTGACAACACAAGCCAACAGAATATCTCACTTATGCTGAGATTAACAATAAAATCCACCTCGGTACAACATCCAAGTCCTTAAAAAGGAAACTGGAATATTGACATTCTGTATAGAAGTAGTCCAAATTGATGTCACTAAATCTTAACCTAGAATAATATATAATGTTATCATATCTTCATTAGACGAAGTATTTGAGACAAGTTCAAGTATAATTAGACGGAGAAAGATAGTCACATGGGACGACAACCTGAGTTAAAAAGATTGATACAAGAAAGAAACAAACAGAAGACTAAGTAAAATGGAAAGGAAAATACTAAATAATTAAGAACAAAAAATAAAATCTAGTTAATGCTCTAAGAAACCAGTATCTCTCGAAAATTCGAAACGGAATTACTGAAGCGAAACAATGTGTTAAATCATTGAAAAAAAGCACAAGAACATCATTAGAAAGCAACGCCGAAGAATTATTCTGGTTTCAAAAAGCCTTTTTGAGTCGTGTTTCAACCCTAACGAAACAGAACATATATCCCTATACATCCGATCATTACAATGTCTGTTTCAAAACATAAATAATAATGAACCTACTGATGTGGAAGCTATAAAATATAAAGCATTACTTGATAGCTTTACCCTCTACGAAATCAATAACAATTTATGAATTTCATGAAAGAAGTATGGAATCGGAAACGCATCACAAAATTGGAAATTATCAATGCATTAATTAACTATTAATGAAGTATGGAAACAAAATGAAGTCATAAAGATAACACGCATGTAGAGGTATCTCGAATTTGAAACGCTATTCTGAAAGTATTAAGGAACAATATATATTAACTAGGCTCTCTGTTTTATGAAAGTCAAATCCAGTTTTCTTTTCTTTGGTTTACTGTAATGATGGCACTTATATGCTTAAAAAAAAACTCCAACAAATTGCTTATCACTCCTACAGTGTCTTTTTCTTCTCATCCATAAGAAACTTCATTCCAAACTCTGAATCAATTGAATGTCCAGATATGAAATATAAATGTTTGGCTACTACGTCGGCAAGCAAATCCGTCTCTCAGATGCCTACTCAGTCACATTTTATCTTTGTCTATATCTCTGAGATGAGGTATTATGATTACTTGCATTATTTATATTATTCGGACTCTTATCTTTATCGTGACTGCCATATTTACAACGTTTCGGCCGTTGTACGCTCCGGCCTTTTTCAGGTGATTGGAATTTTGTCAACTCTGTGTCTAGTCAATGGATCCAACCAGCGTCTTTATCCACTGGTTCGTGCATCATTGAAGACATCTATGTATAAATTTGGGGAACTTATAAGAGTTGTGATTTCAATATCAGGCCACAGCAGTGGTGAACAAAAAAAAGGGGAAGTTGACTTATAGGGAAATAACTGGAACATCTGAAAGAAGCATGGAACTAGAATAATCTATCCCAGTGGACGAAATAAAGGGTTCGGTTCATCATCTGAAGAAGGCCAGAGCGCACAACGGCCGAAATGTTGTGAATGTGGCAATGCAGATGAAAATAACAGTCCGAATAATGTTGATAATACATTTTGTCTTTGTTACACACCCAGAGCCCACGTTTGTTTCACACACCAAAGTGGACCTTAGTTTCAGTTTCTGGGAGAGATCGCATTATCTAGCATGCTCAATAGTCTGAACAAGGCCAGAACGCTCAAACCCTCAGTCACGATGACTTGCGACTTCGTGCTAGCACAACCATCAACGGCCCACAAAAAGTTTTGTCTATCCAATTTCACTCACAAGGCTTGTGTCAACCCGTGGTATAATTTTCAGGTACTTTACAAAGGTGCCGCACACTAGGATCGAATAGCCCAGACAGATAAAACCAAGAAGTCACCTTCCTGAGGAATCGTTAATGATGACATTGGAACCGTCTTATGGTCAGAAATCGAACGTTCTAACCACTCAGCCATTTTTATCGGTTCACATAAACATACACTTCTAGCGAGGACACCAGTACGGGGATATTTCAAACCTCATAAGGAGTACATCAAGGAGGAAATGAGTGTCGTAGTCTATTTAATCTTTTCTTGGATTATGCTCTGTGCATATACAAGACACGGGTATTAATTATTTCAACATTGCATACCACGCCCCTAAAGAATCGACCAATAGGAAATAGCGTTCTTGAATTCTATGACGTCAATGTGCTGCTGATGAGTGCGAGGTTATACTGATGAGAAACAGATACATAGTTGGTATGAGAATAATCTTGTGCGAAAAACTCAGCAATGTATTCCAAGAAATAGGACAGAAAACCAATCTGTCCAAAATATAAAGTAGTGATGACACATACCCTGAATCCATCATAAAATTCCATGATCTGCACTTCAAACATTTTGCTGTATAAATCAGTTATAAGGAATTTAGTATAGGAGATAAGAAAATTGAACATAGACCAACCAGAAAATATTTGCAGACTGTCAGAATTACTTTTTTTAGAGATAATGGTTTCGTGATAAGTCATAATAATTAACACAGGGAGGAAGAGGTGGATACCTACATCCCCCCCAGGGTATTTTGCACGTAAATATAACGAACCCAAAAGGAATTGAAATTCGTATCCCGATTCATTATCCTTATACCACCCGCACATTCATGTATACAGCCCCTAGTATTCCCAAGCGGTCACCCATCAAGGTACTGATCAGGCTCGACGTTGCTTAAATTCGGTGATTGGGAGCTGGTGTTTCGCTTACAAAGAAAAGAAAGCTGTTGAGAACCAGGATCGTCAGTGTACTGAAAGAACACGTCACATAGAAGATTCATATTAATTATGTTTTATTAGCTTAAGAATATTTTCCTTTGATATTTGTAAAATTTAGAGCTATACGTCTCGATGGTTGAAGGTGACTTCAAGCGAATGAAGCCAGTAGGTCTCCGCAAGAACTACCCTTCTTTGAACCTCGTGGAAGAGCGCTACAGAACAAAGAACTCTACCATATAACAAAAAGTACATCACTTATGAATTTCAACAGCAGCAATACCTAAAATGGATTGCACAGGTAACTTCAAGAGAAAATAATGATCGGCTAAATATAACGTTTACATCTATTTTATACAACAGATTAGTAAGGAAGACACAATAAATCCCGGATAAAGCGATAACAGTAGCCTAACTTGAGAAATCTGTTTTCCTAGAAATTTCTTTTAAGCGAAAGATTTTATAAATTTTAACGCCGAATTATTGGATATACACATCCATAATGTAGATCAAAAATACATTGTTAAATTATTCGAGAAATATCGTCATCTATTCACACTGGGTGGCCCTATTCAATAGTCTTGTGTATAGTTTATTAAAGAAGTAACTAAAAAAATATTCAATGCCATAGCAAATGGAACAGTCCATTGTGCAAATTACAATAAGACAAGTACAACTATTTTGTGTGTCAAGTGTTTTAACAGAAAACAAAAAAATCGACACCGAAAACCCAAGGCAATTTGAAATAGCGAACGATGTTTTAGAAAATGTAAGCAAAGTATCAAGAAACAGGAAAATTTCGTTGAAAAAAAAAGAAGAGTACTGAACTGCTATTTTATGTCCTCTTATATAGCAGGGAAAGATGAACAATTTTGTCAGAGATGAAGGGATTTGAAGTAACCAACATGATACTTCAGAAGGATACTGAGAATACCTTGATCTGAAAATGTAAAAGTTTTAGAGAAAATGGGAACAAAAAAGGCGCTTATATTTAACATCAGAAAGAGACAATTAAAATTTCTAGGGCATATGAGGAAAGAAGGTTTAGAAATTTTAATACTCACCGGACATATTGAAGGTAAGAGGGACAGTGGTAAATCGTGCATAACCTACCTAACGAGTTTTTGTAAATGGTTAACAGAACAGGGTTTAGAAGAGATAGCAAAAAGATAAAATTTACTAAAAGCTACAAAGAACAGGAAGTTGGGGAAAGCTATGATTGCTAGCGTCATGAAAGAACGTCACATAGATTTTATTTCTTTATTAGCTTAACAATATTTTCCTTTGATATTTGTCAAATTCAGAGCTTTAAGCACATATGGATATAGCTGCATTGTTACAGAAACAAATAGAGAATAGAGGAAAATACTACGGTGTCATTTTTTTCATTGATCATCGACGAGGAAAACAGTTGAAAATGATCTTAGTTTACATCCCTCTGAAAAAATTAGTCTATAGCAAAAGATTCCAATTCGTGTTAAGAATATGACCAATATGTTCTCGTCTGTGTCATTAAAAGAAATTTGTTAGGATAAGAAGCAAAAGGTGTTAGTAAACATCTAGTTGCAGATGAGACAGGAACATAGTAATTCACAGGCGAATTTATTTCGTCTGTACAATGTTCGAGACGTTACACCTGTAAATCCATCGGACTTAAGAAGAGAAAAAAATCTTGCAACAAGTGTACAAAAATTGAGCACATAGTGCGAAATAAACTGACTGCCTTAACGTATGATTCCCGAAAGCATATTTCACATTATGTCTCTAGGGTAGGTGCTCATTGCTTTAATAAATAAAAATATAGTGGAGAACATAATTATACAAAATAAATTTACGCAATATTTTTACCAGTTTTAATGTAAACAAAATTCTATTCAAATTTGTAAATATTATAAAAATACTATACAAGTTATATATATATATATATATATATATATATATATATATATATATATATATTGTGTGTGTGTATTTAACGTCAATTTTTTATTAATGCATGTTTCATTAAATAATAGAAAAGTCCCCTTCCTTGACATATTCATAAACACAAATAACAAGTTTAATATTTCGCCATACAAAAAACCTACCAGCATAAATTTATCTACACTTAACTACAAAAGCGAATGTACATATTACTACAAAATAGCAATTATAAAAAATCTAATACATCGTGCAGAGACTAATTCGTCGATAAAACAGATATTTTACCGTTAACTAAAGAATTTAAAACAAATACTTATTAATAATAGCTTTCCAAACTATATAGTTGATGGACAAATAAAATGCTTTCTTAGAAGTCTTAATACTAAGCAAATAGAACATAATATTGCTTCAACTAATCCCAAATGCATACTAACTATAAGCAAGATGAAAATATACTAAAAAAATTAGTAAATACTAATATATCTACAACAGATCCTAGCAAAAATTAGGTTAATCGTATACTACTTTAAGTCTAGTATATCTAACTAAGATATCTAAACCAAGATAGTTTACAAATTAAAGTGTCCTTTGAGAGATTGTATCTCCAATGGATTAAATAATATTTACGTTGGTTACACCGCAAACTCGCTTTCCGGACGCTTAACTCTACATTTGAATGATAATCCTAACATTTTTAGGCCATTAAAACAACATGCCTGGCCGCGTACACCATTCCGGAAAGTCTTTGTTGAAAACACAACTATACTTAAACATGAAACAATAAACAAAAACTAAAAATTCTTGAAGCTTTATACATAAAACAGATAACAGATGCCATTGCTTTATACCAACAGCTTCCCATACTTAATACTTCTCGTTTTCACTCACGCGTGTTCATGTGTGACGTTACGAGCTGCGACGCGATTTTGGCTTCCGCGTCTCGTATACACGAGTTAGTCGTTGCTTGAAATATTCATGCCGCAAAGACGGACTATGATTGTTGATTTGTCCGTGTATTGGTTCATATATTGAAAGTTAATTGCCATCTTTGATAACGGCTCATGTAAGCCGAAAGCTTAGATTGGGTTTAAACATGTATCAGTAAGATGATTTCCATTCGTCTTTCAAGGATAATGCTATTAAGCTTGTCAGACAATACGAAAGGAACTTAAAATAAATAGACAAAACGTGTCTATATTAGTTAATGAAACATACATTAATATATATATATATATATATAAGGGAAAGAAAAAACATTACTCGACAGGTTTTGAGGGACATTATCATGGCGAATTTGCCTTGATAAAGACCCTGACAAGACAAAACGCGTTGGGTAAGTTTTTCTTTTGTCTTTTTTCGTATTGTCCTTTTACATGTACAATCTATCTTTTTATATATATATATATATATATATATAGGACTCTCCCGTCGGTTTCGACGTATGAGGATCTGACAGCTTATTGATTCAGTTATGGAAGTTTGTGCGATAATCTTAAGTGGCATTTAAGACTCGCTAGCGATTTACAAAGGAGGACACATATGGAGCAAGTATGAGGATTGTGAAATGAGATCACTGTTAGTTTGGCTGACCTTTTAGATCTTGTTCTCGCTTCTTGAAGATGATTCAAAGAAGCAGATTACAAATTGCTGAGTCCACTAAAACACGTTGATCTCCATTCTACCCGCTCCAAAGCTAAGCGCTCAAGGGCGTTATGTGGTATATTGACTGCTGGCAAATTGATTTTCAACTTGTCTTTGTATCTAACTGACTGTACATTAGGATCTTGGGTATCCTGTCATCAGACATTATCATATATATATATATATATATATATATATATATATATATATATATATTGGTAGAAGTATGCGCATGGTATATGGTAGATATATATTTATTCAAGGAGAACAGATTTCGCTTGAAAATTGAACCCCAAATAAATTATCAAAATGAAACTATCAATATAACTCTTATGTAAATAACGCGTTGTTTGAATACTGAGATTTGACTCAAATATTTGTGGATTCAATACCTGACTATTTCATTGGTGAAAAGAAATTGTAGAGTTTAGTTAAACTGAGGTAACCGAGATATCAGATAGAGGCATGACATGTGGAACTAGAACACTCTGCTTTGATGGTGGATGAAATAAATGATTCAGTTCGAAATCCCAATCACGTGAAGAAGGCCGGGCCTATAACGGCCGAAACGTACGAATTATTGCAATAAAAATGAGTAAAACAGTCCGAACAATGTAAATAATGTAGCTAATTACAATACCTGATCTCAGAAATATAACCAAATATAAATAAAATTGCAATATGTTATTTATTGCCCTCCGGCTACTGTCAATGAATTGTCGAAGTTCAATCCATAATCAGAATTAAATTTATACATTCTTTCTTCTTCCCTAACCGTTTTGTTTTTCACTATGCGTTGTCTGAATAGAAAAAAGGCCTTCAACATGATCAGCACAATCGTAAGTCAATTGTGAGTTGTCATGGTATCGAAAGTTAATCATCTATTGATTAAATACCATAAAATATCACTAATTTAGATGCAATCCGCCGATTCTACATGGAGAGCACCGTAATGTTTAGACTTATTTCAAAGCGTAAACACTCTGATGCCAGTTATTATTCTTAGATTTGGTTTTAAATAAACACAAACCCGATCAGTCGGAAAAAGGCGTAATCCGTGAATTTCGTGGTTGGTCAAAATGTTAATTGAACATAACTCTTGTTTTGAATTGCCTTTTAATATGCAAAACATCTTGTATAATAACAGTTTTTGCCTTTTACAAAGTCTTGCAATATAAGTTAAATTGCCTTTTAACAAAGTTTATTTTAAAACATCTTGCAATATAATAACAGTTAATTTGCCTTTTAATAAGCAAAGTGCTACTTTTTAAAACATCTTGCAATACAATAAGTTAAATTGCCTTTTAATATGCAAAGTGTTACTTTTTAAAACATCTTGCAATATAATAACAGTTAATTTGCCTTTTAATAAGCAAAGTGCTACTTTTTAAAACATCTTAAGTTAAATAAAGTGTTACTTTTTAAC